AGATGGAAATGTAATTTGGTATATAGAATCCTGCTTTGAAACCATCAGTGGGTCTGCATTCAATGGCAATGTAGAAAGGGATCAGAGTTTGAAGTAGTGATAGCCAGTCCCTAGTTGAACTTATAAATGGAAACTGTATCCTTGTTATTTTATAATAGGCCATGTTCTCAGTTATAATTATCCAGAAAATCTCTGCTTTGGGCTCCATTATCAAGTTTAAGAACACAAGGAATAGTGTTTAGCCCAAATATCAACTTTTTTTTACTCAACACTATTTTTTTTTTCTGAAGAAAAATTAGGTGTAAGAGAATCATTCAATATAGTAACTAAACTTGAACTTTGGCAAATCCTGGGGATGAGTCAGAGGTTAGTGATTTTTAATCTTTTCATTTGTAAGGGAGACCTATTACTCCCTTCACACTGCCAATGTTCTGAAAGATTCTGTCTTCGAAACAAATTGCATTTATTAAGGATAATGCCTTCATTTTCCCAGTCAGAATTTCTTCTCAGTTTGTGATAACTGTGTTAACTCAGTGCTGATTTAATTCCAGTCAAACGAAATCTGACATGGGGTTAGCCTGTGCAACCACCTTCAGAAAATTGTATGGTTTGCAATAAGCTTTTGAAATATCAGACATATCTCAGTGCCACCAGTGACTACTTTTGTAGATAAGGGTCCTAGGACCCCAGGTTTGATACTGTCCTATTTAATTTCAAGCTCACCATACAGAATCTAAGTGGTTGAACACTTTCCATTAAAAGGAGGATCTGATTCCGTTGGGTCTCACCTTCAGGGCATCCAGGGACAGGAATGGAAAAGTCACGATGGTTCACTCATTGCACACCCATCATGTGCACACAGGCAAGGTTGAGTCCCTTCCCTGTTATTAAAGCCTTTGATCTTGACAACCTTATGAGGTAGATATCATGTGCTACCTCATTTTACAGACAAGGAAATCAGGGCACTAGGAGGTAAAGTAGCTTGCTGGCTATGGTCAAGACCGCACAGTTACAGTGGCAGAGCAGAGGTTTACATCCAGGCAGTCTAACCCCCACACTCTTAGTTCTTTGCTATACTCCCATCTCATGAGAAACCCACAATTTTTGTGCTTGAACTGAACAGGAAAGAAGTGCCTTGGACTAATGTCTATAGCTAGTCACAAAGACAGTTTGGTAGGTTTCTTGAAAAGCACGGCATCTAAGGACTTGGAGAATGAGAAACACTCCCAGCTCTAGGAAGAACAGACAAGCCATTTCTCTCTTTTTCTAAAATCATTTAAAAAATCCTTTAGTCCCTGATATGTTTTTTTTCCTGTTTTCATGAAGAGATTTTACAGATAGCCAGGCTCGGTGGCTCAGTCTGTAATCCCGCGCCTTTGGGAGGCTGAGGTGAGTGGATTGCCTGAGCCCACAGGTTCGAGACCCACCTCGGCAGCAAGACCTCATCTCTACAATAAATAAAAAAATCAGCCGGGCATGGTAGCGCGCACCTGTAGTTCCAGCTACTCAGAAGGCTGAGGCGGAAGGATCGCCGGAGCCCAGCAGGTCGAGGCTGCGGTGGCCGGGAGCGGCCACTGCACTCCAGTCTGGGCAATCGAGTGAGACTCCAACTCAAAAAAAAAGAGATTTTACAGAGAAAAAAAATTCTGTCCTTGTTTCCTTTATAGTCCTTAGTCTTTTTCTTGAGAAAGTGAATTCACTATGTAGTGTATTCTCAGACTTCCTTTACTCTGCTAGATCAGAGATCAACTCCCCAAGCTTTTGCTGAAATCCTTGTGTAGCCCGTCATTCTCTATCTTTTCTCATTGTGCACACAAGGATGTTGTGAGTTCTGAAGATGGTATAGATATCTGAATGCTGTGCCAAGTGAATTTCAGAGAGATCTACTCACCTCTTGATTGTAAAGAAACAAGGGTTATACCTCATTTAAGCTTAGTTCATTGCAGTTGCCTCAGAGGGCAGAAAAAGCACCATGTCTAGAAGTATGAGCTGGGTTTATGTGTGAGCTGATCAGAGGAGGGTCACATGCCTGATACTTGGACTCAGCTGCTCCTATGGAGTGACCTCGATGAAGGTAGGATAGTTTGGGCAGCACAGACCACAGAGTACCTCAGGTCCCTTTCCCCCAAAGTTCTGATATTTGCCTATGGTCTTAGGGCTCTTGGCAGAAAGCAAGATCACAACTTCTATCTCTGCAAGTTTTTTTCTGTGTGTGTTCCTCTCTCTTCCCAATTTATTGCATTTTATAAGCTTTTATGAATTTAAATCAAGGGAACAGTTATTTTAAAAATGGGGTTGAGAAATATGGGAAATTTCATAAGAAATGGCTAACACATCTCCACACATTCTATCAGTTTCATTATGGTCAAAAGCAGGTGTTTCCATGCTATGAATAAATAGTTTGCATTTTTAAAATTAACAAACTGGATCAACACCCAAAACAAAACCAAACCAAACCCAACCATAGACAGCCCACCAGAGGATTGTTTACCAAAGAAAATGAAGCTCATGGTGATGGTTTGCAAACACCACCAGACTAGCTTGTGTAAATTCCCTTCGTTTAGTCATCTTTCTTCAGCCTGTCACAGATACTAAAGGGAAATGCAGCAACAGGAAATTACAGACTATTTTAAACAGCATGTTTTATTAAACTCACTTGCTGATGCACTTTATGGCAGGATGCGAGATTCAAGTGTTCATAACTTACATCTTTGCAAGCGCTTTTTCTAAGTGAGTTCTCCCAGCTAAAATATGGCTTCTACCCAGGGCTGGAATCAATCTTTAAACTAGTAACTGTTTCACCTCAGGTCATGTGGCTGGATCATGTAAAACGGAGTTTTAGCCACGTGAAGAGAATATACCTTGCTTTTGCACTACAACTCTAAGAAAGTAGCAGAGGCACCTTGGAGTAACTTAAAAGATCCTTAATGCATTTATTTTAAACCACAGAATCAAAACACAGCAATCTTAAAATGAATTACTAAAAACCATACATTATCTCTTCTGTTATTGTTTAAATACTGATTTTGTTCCTTATGGGACAGTTGTGCATCTAATTTAAACCATCACTGCTAATGCCATGCCAAATCCTTCCTTATTTCTGAAAAGGCCTAGTAAAATTGGCAAGGATGTGATAACCTTAGCTACAAGTGAAATGACTTCAAATTTAAGGAGCTGTCATAAAAATGAAATTTAACAACTAATTATTTCCAAAAACGTTTCCGGCTCACAATTTTTTTGAAGGATATAAAAGCCTAGCTGCATCACATAAGAATCCTTATATCCTTCTCTGATATCTGTTGCAAAGTTGACGGCTCTTAACACCCATGCCTTCTACTGGTTGCTCTTTGCTCTCCTCCTGATACACAGGTAAAGTCAAGTGGAGCTGTCAATATAAGTTTATAACTGGAGGGGTGGGTAGCCATGCTTTGACAGTTAATTAACTATGAGCTCTAAAAATAAATACTTTCATTCACTTGCTTTAGCATTTATTTAACAAAGTAGCAAGTGATATGTTCTAAATTTCTATTGTCTTAATAAAAGATCATGCCCAAAACGCTTTACACCCTGATTATTGAGTAGTCAGATAGTGTCTTCTGCTAGTTTTGGATTTTTCTATCTTTCTCCCATGTCTTCTGTCCCTGCAGTCCTGTTCCTAGGACCCTCTCAAGGTCAAGTATAAGAATAACAGGATTCTAAGAGCAGAAACATATGATGGTGATGCCTTTGCTCTTTGAAAATACCTTTGCCAGACCATCTTCTTCAGTCAGCCACTTTTCAAAAGGAAAGACTAAAAAGGTTAATGATTCGGTTAATAATATGCACCCAGATCCCTACAGGAGAAACAATTTTAAAGACACTCTTGGGGAGCAGGGCCACTTTCTTAAGTGAATATTTCCCCTAACTTGTCTTAAAAATTTTTTTATTCTGTCATATCAAAGCAGAGTGCAGCAATGAGAGAAGGTGCTACTTCCAGGTGGGTAGATAGTACTGTGGAGCAGAGGATATCTTAGCTCTTCTAAGTCTTCAAGATAAACCCATGGAACCCAGTTGAGAGATTTAACTTACTAGAAAGGGGGACCGTGGCCACTCTGGAAAAAAAGTCTAATTTAATATCTCATGAGTAGAAATGACAATATTGAGTGCATAGGAGGTCCTAATCCCCTCATCTGCTAACAGTAGGTAATTTGAATGGGTGCTTAGGAATTATTTTTTGGTGGAAAAAAAAAATTTTTTTTACTATGCTAGAAATTTCCTGGAAACTAAAACTTGAACTAATTTGTATGCTGCTGGATTCAAAGATACCACTCATCCCGCAGAGAAGCAATTCTGGTGGGTTCTACTGAACAGATACACAAGCCCACAGCTGAGGTGAGTGTCATAGTAAATGACCAACTCCATCATTTTACAGTTTTGGCCATCAAGAAAAACAATATCTGGTAATGTTGGAGGCTTTTAAAGAGCAAAAGGATAAATCCTTTCATTCAAATTTAAATCTCCATGAGGTATTATACTCATAAGAATGCTACATTTGACAAATTAATTAGCTTTCACCTAGCTTTCTCCTTTATCACATAAAATATTAGCTTCGAAGAACATTAAAACATAATTGTATGGTATACTACTAACAATAATCTGTAGCTGCTATAACCATTTACATATGGGTCATCTTAACAATTTGACATTTCATAAAGGAATCCACTAAGATTCAGTATTTACAGCTTCATGGTATGCATTTTTTTCAGAGACTTTCCAAAACAAAAAAATCTTTACATTCTTTCAGATATAACCTTATTGATCACCACATCATCTATTAACATTGTGCTTCTTAATCAACAGAAACTTAACTTATAAACCAGGACCATTCTGAAACACCTGTCAGATTGGCATCTTAAAGTACTCTTTCTTGTGGCCACTGTCTACTACAGTTCCTAGACATACTGAATTTTTAAAGGAGAGAGAATAATGAAAAAGATAAACATAGCCAATAGCCATTAAAATAAAAAACTTAATGAGTTTTTATCATTTTAATAAATATATATCAAGAAAACCTCACTTTATTACAACACATTCATGTACAAGCATCTATTATCTAAGTTTTCAACATCAAATGTTTATCAAATATTGAAAATAAAGGACAAAACATTACTAGACTATTTAGCTATAACACAAGAACATGTTTTAAAAATTGGTCCTTGTGGACAATTGTCCAAATGATCCTACTCATACACTGTATGAATGAGATCTATATTTAATATTAATAGCAAGAATTTTTTAAAAAAAAGCTTTATCTTGGAGAAACTGGGAGGACTTATTTTCTCCATTTGGCATTCGGTTCCTATAGAGTATTGTTTAAAGAGGCCCAAGTCGGTTAGTAAACTTGGAAACTGGAATATAATTTAGCAGGAGGAGTTGGCTGGAGTGGAAGGACGGATGGCAGAAGGGCCACTCTGAACACTTTCCAGATGTACAAATTAAAGATATTATTGAGAAAAAATGTTGACCAAATATATTGTGACTATTACAGATTAAGTCCCATTTCTCCAAAATAACTTTCCCCAAACTAAAATCTTTACATTCTTTAAGATAAAAACCTTATTGATCACCACATTTATTAACATTGTGCTTCTTAATCAACAGCAAAAGTCATATATAAAAAACCACATGCTTTTAAAATCTAAACGAGTGAAATGATGCAAAACAGATTAAAGTATAATGCATGCCACTGGTTCATGAACTTCATTGGACAAGAAAACAAAACAAAACAACCCAAAACCCAGAAAACCCAAACCCCAGCAACAGACTGTTGCCATAGAAAAGCTCAAGCAGCTAGTGCTGGTTTCTAACAGCTCTATTGTTTCCTCCATCCCTATCGAAAAATGCCAAATCCAAAAGCAATTGGACATCAAAAATAAAGTAAGAAGAGAGATGTCGAATCAAATGTTGAACGCAGTAATCCAAAGTTAACAGTTTCCAAACCATATTGATCCACCCTGTGTTGTTTTTTTTTCCTGTTTGTTAAATCCCTGCTGTAACTCTGACTTATCCTTAATTTTCACATTGGCAAAAATTAAGATAAAGTTAAGGCACCAAAATTCGCCCTGTATAACACCTCTCTAAAAGCCTCATCACCGGTCACAGGCAAGCCAGGAACTTGCAGGGAATACCTCTCCGCAGACTGCTGATTGTTGCCCCTAGACAGGTGTGTTTCATTATGTTACATCCTATTTTCATCTGTCAAATGAGACTGTTAAGTACAAATACTTAACAGCATCATGAAGCCATTTCAACTTGCTCCCTGTCTTCAGTCTTTCATTTAAAGAAAAAAAATACTGTATCATATAGAAAAAGCAGACACCTTTGCTGGTTATATTGATTTGCTTACCAAATAACTACATAATTGGCAAATGTGTTGAAATTTCTTAGTAACAGGCTCTTTGTGGGTCAATGGAAATATCAAAAGGGCACAGTGTCCCCCAATCTAATCTATTGATCTTTTCTGTAAGAAAACTAAGATATGCTTGTAAGCATTAAGTCAACTGTTTTCTTGGCAAAATCATCACATTTATAAGTAGCTTGCTGATGCCTACTATACAGATGTTTTATGCAATCTGCTCTCCAGGCATTAAAACGACACGGCATGTTCATGGCATAATGTTATCAGTTGTACAAAACTATAAAATCCATTCAGAATAAAATTTATGAGAGCTAATTGATCATGCTGTGCATGCTTCGAAGTTTCGGTGAAAAGATGGCTCATATTTTACTTCCTTTGCTGCAGCACAGTTTGTTACTTGGTGAAGACTCCTTTTTCCTTAAGGACTTTTTCCAAGACTCACTTACATTATTTCTTTCATTATATCCAGTCTCAAAATAATCATAGAACTGGCCTTTGCACTCAAAAGCAAGGTCATTTCCCACAGGTTCATGGCCGAGGGGACCACCATCTCTGTTGGTGTCATTATTTGCTTTCTCCTCATTTAATTTGGCCTTTTCCTGAACACCAAGTGATCTGACATTAGTAACAAAGATTTCGTTGGCAGGTATCTGGCCATCACTCTTGTAAATAGGTGCACTGCCTACATCAAAATCCACCTGGTGGGAACAACTCGGTAAAGGTGGAGGGGGAGAGGAAGAGGAAGATGAGGAGGAAGAAGAGGAGGAGGAAGAGGAGGCAGTGGTGGAGGCACTTCCGACATTAGCATTGACAGAAAGTGGTAAATTTAGGTAGTGGCCACCACATTCTTGGTAAAAGCAGCAGGCATGAAACTTCTCACACTCCTCTTTGGCCATCCGTGGTCGTTTTCGGTAAGGACAGTCTTGAGCCATAAACCACTCTTGGGCAGAGGTGCCATTGAAAGAGCAGGCAGGGAAGCACCAGTTATTCTGCATGATAATTTCTCCATGGATCCTTTTCATCAAATTGTTTATAAGAACAGATCTTCGGAGGTACACTTCAGGATCATCGATAAACTTTAGCTTTTCTAAAGACATATAAAGGATGTGGGCTCGCTCTTCAAAAATTGAGATGGTCTAAAAACCAAAAAGAAAAAAAAAGGAAGAGAAAGTTTAAGAAATTGACTACATGAGACATCATCACAGCATATTTCTCTCTTGGCAGTGTCTGGATCTGGGCATGCTGTGATCTTGTTTTCCCCAGGGTTCCTTTAGAGATGCTGTCCCCAGTACACTGATGTTCCCCTTCCTCACCCTGTTGGAGTTCCCACCCTCTTCCTGACTCACTGATGTGGTCAAGCACCAGGGAATCCAGCCACAATGCAGACCTCAGCAGGGACAGTTCAGCTTGTTTGATCTCTTATGGTCCAGTGAGAGGGATGCTGAAACCCAAAACTAATCTAAGCTGTTAGAAGTCAGAAGAACAGTTACTCTGGGGGCTGGGAAGTGAGGAGGGGGGTAGTGACTAGAAGCGGGCCACAAGGAAAGATTCTGGTTGCTGGTTATGTTTTGTTTCTTGATGTGGATGCTAGTTACAATGGTATGTTCACCCTGTGAAATTTATCAAGCTGTACTTGTACTTTTTATTTGTGCATACAAACACAAATGCAAGACACAAACACATGTACTGTTATACTGTACGTCAATATGTTTTAAAAGATGCCAGGATGCAAGTCATAATAAATATACTTCAAACCCTGGTCTAGCCATCAAGGAGCAGGAGATTTGGCTTTTAGTGCTGTCCCTCTCTTAATCCTCTGGGTTTCATACCTGCAATTATCCTTGCTTGATAAGAGACAACAGTAATTAATGAGGTTCAGACCCTGACAGAATCTGTCAGTTGAAGGACCAAAGTAGGCTTCTTTTTGGGGTTGGGCAGGAGAAGAGATGCAGAGAGGAAATGAGAGGACTCACTTCTCAGCTGTGTAATACCGTCACTGTGTGATGGTTGGTGCAAATCCAGTAGCAATAAGAAAACTACAACCATAACACAGAAACTAAAAAAGAAATAAATTTCTTGTGTCCTGGGGACCAGCTCTTCCAGATCATAAAAGAAGCAAACTGGCAGCATAACCTGAGGAGCTGTGAACTAAACCAGCCTAGACAGACCAAAGCCAGGGACTATACATGCAGGACTACACATGCAGGGAAAAGTCCAGCACCTGTCAATGCATGCTGGTGTCTTTTTATGAGCAAGGTAAAAGCAACATCTAAGGGATGAGGTGGCAGAGAGAGAAGGCAAGAGGCGACAAAGAGGAAGATGAATTGAAAGTCCTCTGTGCATTTCACACAACTATGGTCTGGGGTGATACCCTACTTGATTAGATCAGCAGATAGCTGTTTTTTATTTTGAGTTGGAGTCTCACTCTGTCGCCCAGACTGAAGTGCAGGGGGCG